CAAATAACGAATATCAGTAAATATTCGATAAGTACCTACTCTCTTACCATTGCGACCGACACGCCGCGTGACGCCTCGGCGCGGGCGGCAAGGTACAAAGAAAACCTTTATTTTATAATTTAGGTACTTGAGAAAGTAATGATACCGCAATATTACAATATCGAAATTATACAGGTACAGTTATTTTAAGGTATAGTAATTATTATTATATAATAATTTAAAGGTACCTTTATTTTAAGGTATCGAAATTTAAAGGAATGACGTCATACCGCTAACCGTTTTAACCACAATTTTTCAGTTATTCAATCCCTGATCGGTATATTGATTCTTAATTGAAGATAAATGTAGATGTCTATGGGTCACAGTATCCAGTTACCATCGGGTGGACTATGGGCTTGCTTGTCACCCTAATTCTATAAAAAATGTTAGGAAGTGTTATTGTTTGTGTTACGGCCTACGGCTGCTTCCTTAAAGGGTCAAATCCTCTGGGGCCCATGAGCAGAAGACTTCCCGAGCAGACGTAGGTCGGGCCTCAATGTGGCCACGTGGAATTTCTCTAATTACACTAAACTATATGGGGGAGCGTTCTATACTATGGCCAGTCGACCGGGAGGATATTAGACGGAGCTTACTTACCTATATCCAAGGCGACTGGTCCCTCCGGAGTCGGTCAGGTCGCATGTGGTTGTGTAGTGCAAGGGAAATAAGGTGATGTGATTTGAAGTTGTGTAATTATTAGTCATAGCGATAGTCATTTATTCCAAAATCTTTTCAAAAATTCAAAAAAATAAAGGCGTGGCGGCGCTGTCGTCGCGCCACAAGATCTACCCTTTTCTTTACCACGGCCACAAAGGCTACAGGTGCGATCTCACCTATGAGGAATAAGGTGGAATGCCTCATAGCCTGTAATGTTTTTATACTGACTCTCTATATCCTTCAGAGCACACAGCAGTGTACGCACACTGTTTCGCGGCATAAATAGTTAGTAGGTAGTACTCCTAGATAGAAAAAGAGTCCTACTCCCTATTAAAGTTAGGGTGCTTACATAAAGAAACAGGTTTCCGGTACAGACAAATCTGTGCTGGTCGGTACCGATCGGTCCAGGTATAATGTTTCTATGTTATCTTAAGCCGCGTCTCCACCAAAGTTTTGTTGCCAACACAATAGTCGCCAACAAAACTTGTTTCCATTTTCGGGGGCAACATCAAAGTAATACGCTTGTTGCCAACATTTGTTCCCTCGGTGGAGACCCTTGTTGTAAACAGTTGGAAACATAACTGTTGTCAACATTTTTGGCGGCTTTATGCGGTCACTTATAAAGAAACAGGTTTAAACTGTCTTGTCGGTGCCGACTACCTGTACAGTGCTATACTGGTTTAAGCGTTTGCCGGTGTAGGGTGTGTGTGTTTATGAAAATGGATATGGATTTAACGAAGTTTTGATAGCCTTGGTATTTGATATTTGAACATGCTGTTTACACCATCTCTTAATTAAACGATGTTCTATTTTATTTAATATGTAGTTAAATATTTCTCGTGCTATCCTGGTATAATAAAACCTGTGTTAATCAAACTTTATGTCTTTTATAAAAAAATGATAATATGACCCATATTTTTTCTTTTCCTGTAAATATTAGAGACTTTGACGGTTATTTTCTTTCTAAATTTAAACAATTGTAAGTGTGTTTAAGAATCAAATACTGTGTAAGAACCTCCAAAGGAGGCGGAGTTATAGCCGAAGTAAGAATTAAATTTTTTTTTGGTTTTTGGTCATTTTGACCCCTTAGGAGTGTAATGAGAACTTTTTGCCTCTATTCAACTATGACCCTCATGACATCCTCTACATGATAGACTATTCAAACTGACTTTGTCTAAAGTTCGAGCCACCCCCCAACTCATTTCTAGTCTTTACTTCCAATTAATTCCACAGAAACACTTTCCAAAAGTAAAAATTCCATGGTTATCAATAAGGAAAGATTTACCTGTTTCTTTGTGCAGGTTAACCCTGCACCGTTCAGTACCAGTACCGATACCGAGTACCGACCAGTACAGATTTGTCTGTTACCTACTCTCTATGTTATAGACGTTTGCTTACTATTACGATTGTGAACCCGCCTGCTAAGTGAGACTATTTCCAAAATTCTCAGTGTTAATGACAATCCAACTGCTAAGTCACCTTATTCTTATTAGGTGGACTGTTTGTATACCACTTAAATACATACCTTACAGTGTTTTGCTCAAACACTGCAAGGTATGAACGGTTCAAAAGTTTATTTTCAAACTAACGATCCGTCCCGCTTCGCACGGGTGGTTTCTGCCACTTACCGAGTCCATTATTGGCGAGGGTTGAAATTTGTAAAGGTATAAGGGTATGGTACCGGTATAGAATTACGATACAGATTCGATTTAAAGGTATAACCAAAACGGTTGAGTATTACGTTTGTGGTACATGTGGTAATATTTTTTACGGTATCGATATATTACTATAGGTAAACCACACAACTGGCGGATCGCCCGCGGGGCATGAAGTTGGTAGGGGCGGGTATCGATACACACGTAATAATTTTTGCAGAGATAAATCCCGGGATAATATTCGCCGATCGCAAATATAGGATAATGTAAATAAAAGTCAACTTTGCTAGATCAATGATTTTGTAGCATGTTAATTTTATTTTACTGTAACGTATTTTTTTTTGAATATAAATAACACAATGATTTATATCAGAAATATTTATTAAGTTTTAAGCAAAACACTTTGGAAAAGCAGTACTTAACAATTTTTTATAATTTTATTTTAATAATTATTATATATTTTCCTCCTCGCTAATATCAATATTCATATCACTTGAATTACCGTCTTCGCTATCAGTGCAACTGGACGAGTCAGAATTATCTTGTAAATTAATTATCATTTCGTCCATAGCGTCGTCGAGTATTCGATCGTGTTGACAGTACTTATCTTCAATTTTCTGGACATGTGTGTTACATGCTACCCATTTTTCTACTGGAAATTCACTAAATAATTTCTCTAGTGCAGTTTTCTTCATATCTAAATTATACTGTCAAGTTCGTTTCTCGAAAGTTGTCCCTTGATATCCCCCCAAACCAGCTCTATGGGGTTCAAGTCTGGGTGATACGGCGGAAGTCTTAATACTTCGTGGCCTGCAGCTTTTAGCACTTCATCAATCTTGTAAACATTTTCAGATCCATGTTGTTTGATCAACTTGAGCAGGTCACATTTTCTCAAGGAACTGTCAAATTCCACATTATGTCTTTGTAGCCAAGCCTGCATCGAAGCTTTTGTATTTGTCATCGTTGGTTTTTTGTCTTCCTAGACTGAATGATACGCGGCGTTATCCATAACAATTACAGATCTTGGAGGTAAATTTAGCAATAATTTTTCTTTTGTCCATTTATTGAAATTTACAAAATTCATATCCGAATGATAATCCTCGGTTTTAGTTTTTGATTTAAAAATTAAAAGAGCTCCGTCAACAAATCCAGCCTGGCCTCCTGCATGTACAATAATTAATCTCGGTCCTTTGCCAATATGAGCCAGCACTCCACGTTCTTCTTTTGATTACCAGCACGATGGAACATTTAAGGAGGAATTGACGTATGTTTCATCGAGGTAAACAATGGATCTCTTGTCTCTTCGATGTTTTTGTATCGCATTCAGATATTTCCATTGCCAAGAAACAATGTTTGGTTGTTCAATAAGCAGCTTTCTCTTCGACTGACATTTTTTAAATTTAAAGCCAAGTTTGTGCAGTAATAGTCTCAAATATTCTCGACCGCAATTTAAAATTCCTTCTTCTTTAAGTTTAGCATTTAATGTTTTTAATGTGTGAACCCTCTTTTAAATAGTGTATAATTGAGTTATTTTTCGTCTCACTACTCCTTCAGTAAAATTATATATTTAAATCTTTTTCTTTCGTACCTGTTTTATTTTTTTGGGGGATTCAAAAACCACGCTATTTTGTTCGCGTTTTAGATAATTTCCTTCTTTGACAATTTTACTCACAGATGTTAAAGATATTCGTAGACGATTGATCTTGTTTTCTTAGTTTAAAGAAAGAATTGTACACCAATTGTTTCGCTTGCTTGTTAATTTGCTTGGCAAAAATCTTAGAGCGTCCATCTTCAGCATTCATCTTGGGTTATAATCTCGTGTGCGTTTTGTTCCGAGCGTCCGTAACCAATTAACCCACTGCCACAGAGTGCTTTTATATATACTGAAAGCCCACTGCCCGCTGGGAAAACCGCGAGCGCACTGAAAAATGTCACTCGAGCTCCCTGCCGCGCGCCCCCGCACTTCACCCCGAAACTCCTTAAAATCCCTCCGCGCCCACCAACTTCTTGCCCCGCGGGCGATCCGCCAGTTGTGTGGTTTACTTATACCTTTATCGAAATAATTTCGGTACCACAAAAAATTATGCGACGAAAACCGTGAGACGCGGCGGCAGCGGTACGGGGCGCGGGGGAGTGGTGCGGCGACTTTGCTTGCCAGCCAGTTGTTAACTCGATAGTGTCGACTATCGAGCCAGCCAGTTGTTAACTCAATCGAGTCTCTAGTATATATACAGTAATCTATGGTGTCGTGACTTGAACGGTACAAAGAAAACCTTTATTTTATAATTTAGATACTTGAAAACGTAATGGTACCGCAATATTACAATATCAAAATTATACAGGTACAGTTACTTTAAGGTATAGTAATTTAAAGGTACCTTTATTTTAATGTATAGAAATTTAAAGGAATGACGTAACGTTAACCATAATTTTGTTCGGTTATTCAATCCCTTAAATTAAAACATCTAGGGAACCATTTAAACACACCCAAAAATTTCATCGAGAATCGGTCGAGCCGTTTTTGAGTTTTAGCGAGACTAACGGGCAGCAATTGATTTTATATAAAAATTAAAACATACATATTTGTTTTGCTAAAAAACTTGTCATATATTTTTTAAATTCTGTTGGTTACAATTTTCATTAGCTCGGTCATCTTCGGTGCAATTTGTCACGCATAATGATACCTCCAAGTTTTGAGACGCCATCTTGATATTCTGTTTTGCCAAGTGGTGGAACGACTGAGGTTGTTTCTATAGAAAAATATATTTCACATTAAAACAATCAATAAATTTTATATTACAGCATTTTTAATAAAATGAAGTGTTTAATACAATATTAAAAAAAAATATAAGAAAAAATAAAACTAATAAGGTAGGTGAGGGTAATATGGTCACCTTAAGCTTTGTCGCCCTATAAAACCAAAACTAGGAGGAGGACAGAGACAAAAACACAAAGGCGTATACTATAACTAATATATGTATTAAGAAAAAATAGCAAACAAGCCTTCGCAACATTTAGGAACACTTCGAAAAATCAACTTAAAAAGAAATAGCTATACTACACAATACTAAAATTGACTAAAATATTTACTGTAATGTCAACTGTCAAAATGGCGTCGATAAAGCAGCGCCCTTTGACCTGTTTATTATTTGATCGACTAATGAAGAGCTATCGTAGCACAGAATCGTCTATGCAAACAAAGCTGTAGTTTTTGAGTTGTAAAAAAGCGACCATATTAACCGGATGACCATATTACCCTCACGTACACGTATAACTTAAATTACCATACAGTCCTACTCCCAGAGATATCGTGCCAAGAACGGTGGCTGCATTTCCTCGCTGAATGGCTATACTTAGCCTTTGAGCGAGAAAAGAAACCAGCCCTCTTATCACCAGCAGCGTTGACCAGGCGCGGATACTGGCGATAGAGTAGTGCACATTTTTTGTTTAGAATGGCTTCTCTGGTACGTAGTACATATAACTCAGAGATAATATATAAACCCTATAATTATCCTACGAACATCCGTTATTCTGCATTCGTCTCGGTTTCTGAACGTTTCACTTCTACCGCGTGTGCAGTGCATACATGTTTTTCTTTTTACATTTTGCTGCAAGCTTAAACTAGAACAAACGCATTTCTTTCTTTCTTTCTAAACGAAACATTACAAAGCACGATCAAATTACGTACCGCATTTAGGTCTCGGATCACTAACAGTACCGGAGGACTGCTTGGATATGGTCCGGGGCGTGGTCATCCGGTGGAGAGGCGCCACGCGGCACGGGTCGCCGGGCAGACGCATGGGCTGCGCGCACGGACCCACGCCGCTGTCATCTGCCGCCCGCTGCAGACCCTCAAACTTTGCACCGGGACCTATTCATTTTAACATAAAACAACATAAACACTCACGCCTGAGAGGTAGGCAAAGACTACGGACTTCCATTTGACACGAGCCTGACACAACACTCTTTCTATGAATTTTATTTTTATATAATCGTATTGAAAACTTACATCTAGAAACATCAAGTAATATATATAAAATTAGACGAAGAAGATCAATTACATTATTATGCGTTCATGGCGAATATAACGCTGTATTTACAGTATTGATGTAATCAACACAAAACAGCTTCTTTTTGTTTCAAAAGTGCTATTTGTGTTATTTTAATAATCAAAATATAATGTCCTCCAGACCGATTTTCGCTCACGGCGGCCAGCCTCTACGGAGACTAGGCATCGGCGCAGGACAGGATTATAGTGTCCAAGTGTATGCACAAGAACAGTTGCACTCTGCAGTCTCTATATTTTCACTCTCATAATCCGACGGGGACGGTAAACCGACACGACCGGAAAGAGATCAAGCGCAGGACCAACGGTTTTACTTGCGTTCCGAGGCACGGAGATGAAACACCACCAACTTCCGAACTCCGGGCAGATACTGAGAATTCTTGAAGGAAAAATTCAACCACTTATATTTTTTGGACCGACGAGGGACCTCATGAACAGCAGTCGTGTTTACAGCCACTAGATCAACGAGGCAGTCAATGAAAATATATGGAAATAGTTTATGAAACGAAATAGGAGTTAAACCATAGACAACTGAAGCATGTTCAATGATGAAATTAATGGATAAGATGAAGCTGACGGTAGCGATACTACGACTATTATTATAATTAGTCAAGTCAAAACCAAAAAACAACAATTAATCAGAGGTCGGCCGGCCGCGGGTTTGATAAACAAAAAGCAACAAATATTTTTGTGGCCCCAAATAATTGTTAATGTAGTTGTTAAAAAAATGGAGTATGTCCATTTGCAATTTATGTGCGTAAAACGACTCCATATTCAGAAGAAATTCCTATTACGAAAATAAAACAACATATAATACACTTAAAACACACACACAAAACCAATAAAAATAAAATAAGAGTGTAAGCACCGCTCTCGCAAAAGTCAACTTGATACGTAGTCTTATTCCTGTCCCTGTCGATTCGCTGCTTCAGTTCTGGCGACGCTTCATTCTGCAGAATGCTGTACAGCATTGGATATTTCGATTGCAACTGAAATTACATAAAAGTTTACTTTATTATCATTTTCTTAAAGCAAGAACTCAAAGTTTTTTTTTTATTTCCTTAGATTCGCAGCCAGTAGCCAGCAGTAAATGGTGCACTTTTGCCAATTTAATGGACACTATCCTTCTCACATTTACGAGAACTGTCGCTTCTAACACTACCCTTAATAACACGACTCCAATTTCAGGAATTACTCACACCACAGTTATAGATAATTATCATCATCATTATCGTTTTCGTCATCTTTTATACGTAGTAGTGCCATAATGCACCTATATTAATCGTACAGTTGTAGCACGAATGTACCAACGTAAAGTAGCAGCTTGACGCTGTTGTGATTCGTATGGTGAGTGTAGAGAACCGGAGACCCTTTTTACTGGAAACGAGGCATTCCATCTTTAGTCCTCAGGGGTGACAACCCATCTAAATTTTGATACGTGATTGAGGATAGATGTAGATGTCTATGGGCCACAGCAACTACTTACCATCAGGTGGACTGTGTGCTCGTTTGTCACCCTAATTCTATAAAAATAAATCTCACTCAAAATCTCAGGTGTCCAGGTAACGATGCTGCCACACCCGGTCTTCAGCTTTGGCAGTTGGCTCTTTCTGACAGACAGATCTCTGGCAAAGATTTCGGAGCCCTGGTTACGCTCGATAGTTTTTTCAACACAAACTGTATTAAAGTTGCGTAAGTCCCGACGCATGCATATGGAGATCTGTCTGTTCAGTTGCCTGTATGCTGTCAAATCTGCTGAAGACTGCGTCATCAATTCTCGTGTAACAGCCATAAGATTAAGAGTGTGATCAGAGAGTTTTTGTGTTCTTCTGCACTGGGTTTTGCAAAACTTAGCTCCGACCGCATGGACAGTTTTCACAAGCTTGTCATTCATATCTTCCACTGCATTGCAATGAAAACAATTTTTTAACTCGAGCTTAAAGTTTTTGGGACTTTGGATTAGAGCACGTGGGGGACGGATTGTTGACTTCATTATACCTGATGACCTCTCCAACTTAACGTTTAGGTTCAGTGTGGCTGATGTTACTGAACAATTGCCGTCTAGTCATCATAATGAAGTCAATCTCATTTTTGTCGAACCGATAACCGATGAAGAAAAAAGGTTCTTGAGTGGCAGCCTCATACCGGTAGGCGAAGAGTAGGGCGATCCTCCACTAGATGGAGTGACAACCTGGTAAAACATGCAGGAAGTCAATGGATGCAGGTGGCTCAGGACCTTGCTTTGTGGCATTCCTTGAGGGAGGCCTATGCTCAGTAGTGGACTTGTGAAGGGATGTAATGATGATGATGATTATGAGATGAGATTCGATCATAACACGAGCGATAAAATATGCTTTTAAGTTGAAGATGAAATTGTCAGAAAATTACCACCTTTGAAACAAGACAAAAACTAACAGTTGCTATCGCACTAGTTAGCAACTGTTAGTTTTGTCTCTTACTCATAACATTGAGAGGAAACAATTAATAATAACAACATAACAACAATTCACTTTTAGAACCAGCAATGCATACGATTCTGTTGAAACATACCTTATCTAGAAACGCATTGGGTTGATTGTAGCGTGATGTAGGAGTTTCAGGACTGGCAGCAACTCGGGCTGGATATAGTTTCGGATCTAACAGCGGCCCCATTATCTACAAAAATAAATCCAATGCATATATACATTCAAAACATGTTACAAAATCAGTAGGCAGCAGCGGTAAAGGTGCGAGACGCACTAGGTGTAGGTGATGGAATCCTTTTTTGACCAGTACTAACCCAGACGAACGTCGGGATAGGTACTATCCTCTTACGTATTTTTGCCGCCATATTCACGTGCAACGTACATATACGTTGCTATGTTCCATACTGAAATGTGTAGAAAGCCAGTAAAAATAAATACTGGCTGTGAGGCATTACATCTCAGTCCACAGGCTTGACCACTGGCTTCAGGGGTTTATGGACTACAGTAGTCACTTACTGTCAGGTGGATTGTAAGTCCGTTTGACACTACAGTTTTATAAAAAAAAAGTCTGACACAAATCCTCGCCACAAAGGTAGAGGCCAATGTCCGGCTGTGAACTTCTACGGGCCGCTAAAAAACATAAAAAGATCATAATATCTGCATATTTTCTAAATTTGGCCCGTGTGGCGTTTACATATTCGAAATCATTGAAACAAAGTACTTACATACTCTAATATTTCTAGAATGAATATTATTAAAAATGCAAATCTTCTAGAAATTTATAATTATACAGTGTTATTTTGCAATAACCAGCCAAATTTGCAGAGAAGATTCAGAATAAGTAATATAGGCAAATTGTGAAGACGAATTAATTTAAAAAATCTTAAACATTCTGTCCTTTTTACCATTTAAATTCAAAATGCGTGGTAATGCATTATTATTACTGGTTTTACTGCGCACGCACACATTTGTAAGGGTCGGCATAAACGATGTTGCCCCACTCAATTTGGGATAATTTGGGATAATTTGAAATAATAGTAGAAGCCTAAAACTGCATTAACGGTATATTAAAATTTGGCTACTTTTTGAAAAATGACACTGTATAGTAAAACTGCTATAGACCGTCTTAATGGATATAAATATGTATATCACATATCATAATAGAATCAGACGTTACTTTGTGGAAATCAATAAATTGGTTTAAAATCCGCTTGAAAAATCAAATGGTGTTTTAACTATACATAGTTTGAAGAACAGCTCTCACAATTACATGCTTTATCACTGTATTCTTGCTGCTTCTTCCTTTTAGAACAAAGAAGTAAATAAAACAATTGAACTTTAATAAGTGTTATGTAATAATCTATATTGATCAAAATTATTCTATTATGTTCTTTTATGTTCTGTTTTATTCTATTCTACAGCATTCTAGTGCAATCAATTAACCCAAAACCACTAACCCAGGAAAAACAAACCACCGTCGGTTAATTTTTAACATATTCTTTAAATATGCCAGTATACTTTTTTGCGTGGTAGAGCTATGCTTCAGCTATACTATGGTTGTAGAAGGAATGGGTCGGCTAGACCGGGTAAAGACCATGCTCTCACAGAATACCAGCGTAAAACAGAGGAAAAATGCTGTGGATGTAGAAAACCGGGGACCCATTTTTCTGGAAACGAGGTATTCCATCTTAGTCCTCAGGAGTGACAACGCATCTGCACATTGATTCTTAACTGAGGATAGATGTAGATTGTAGATGTCTATGGGCCACAGCATCCACTTACCATCAGGTGGACTGTGTGCCGATGTCAAATTTATTCTATAAAAACATAACCTAATTTCTTAGCAAATGTAAAATACAAACATTTTACTTATGACGGCAGTAATATATCACAAATATGGCCAATTTTTATTTTATAAAACTCGAACCGGGGTGGTACCACGGCCTCACAGAATACCAGCGTGAAGTAGAAGTTTATTTCTGCATTTAGGCGAAATGTATAGTAAGGCAGGTGGCCGAAGGCCCAATTCCCCCTCCCCCCCCCCCCCCATTAACATGGTAGCGGAGTAAAATAAGACACTACCCCAGGAGGATACAAGCACCCCTGGGGCCGGAGAATTCCTCGCTGAGCATCCACGTCCAAGCTACCCTACTTTTTCTAAATGTGGGTGCTCAGGCTGCCCCGCATATTCTGGGGGTGGAGCGAAATTCTGCTCAAGACGAAACCTGCTCGGGGCAAGCGGAGCAATAAGACAAAGGCAACCCCTGCCACGCTTTCCGTAAATTTATGCAACATCAGGGGACTTCATTCAAAACTTAACGCCGTCCACTACCATCTGGAGACTTTCACATTCACAAAGCCGGCCTTGCTCTTTCTAACCGAGACACAGATGTCCTCTCCGCTTGATACTTTGTATCTCTCCTACTCAGGCTACAAATTAGAACACTCCTTTGTGCCCCGGGCTGGAGTTTGCGTGTATGTCATAGAGGACATCTATTTTCGATGCCTCGGCAGTCTTGAAGGTACGGACCTGCCTATGCTATGGCTGTGCGTAGACAGTGACGACCATCCCCGCGTCTACGGGTGCCTCTATAGGTCCCATAACAGTAATGCCGAAACAGACCGACTCATCGACCACGTTCAAATGGCTGCAGAATCCGTGCTACAACAGGGCCCATCCGCAGAGATCGTAATGCTCGGTTATTTTAACGCCCACTACGCTGAATGGCTTGATTCCCGTTTAGCTGATGATGCGGGTAAAACTGTTTATGACTTTGCATTGGCATGTGGTCTGACACAACTGGTTACTTCGCCTACGTGGATCCCAGATGTGGAGGATCATGTACCTTCCCTGTTGGACCTTCAGCTAACCACTCACCCGGACGGATATCAGGTCTCCGTACATGCTATGATGTAGATGTTCGGACCATTGTCTGATTCGGAGTACGGTGCCACTCAGGCTATCTCAGTTGCGATCTACAGCTTTCCACCTTGTTTGGCACTAAAGGTCATCCGATTGGGACGGGATGCGGTCTTTTTTGCATCCTACTCTTGGCGGGTTTGCTTTCCGCCGAATGATCCCAACGCTGTTGCTGATTCTGTCACTGATGTGATACTTCAGAGAATGGAATTATTTATTCCATCATCTGTGGTACCTATCGGAGGCAGAACTCAGCCATGGTTTGGTCACTCCTATAAGCAGGAGTGCTACCGGGCCTGGATTGAGGCATCAACGTCTCGGGATGCATACACCAGCGCTTTTAAAAAGAAGTATAGTTCTGCCTCCAGGTCCTTCAAAAGTGTCATTTCCAAGGCAAAGTCAGAGCACATCGGCAGAATTGGCGAGAAACTAGTTCGCCTTCTTTCAGGAACACGTGCATTCTGGTCTCTCGCAAATGCTTTCCAAGGGAACTTCTGTCAACCATCTCTGCCATCTCTGAATAGGGTAGACGACTCACTGGCCCATGCAGCAAAGGAGAAACCCAATTTGCTAGACTCTCCCTTTTCTCCCAACTTGACTCTTGATGACGAAAGGAACACACCGCCGACCATCCCGCATTGTGAGTGCTCCATGCAGGGTTTGCTGTTTACACAGCGCTCGGTACGCAAAGCACTCCTCTCCCTGGACGTCAACAAGTCGAGTGGGGCTGATGGAGTTACACCTTTTGTGATAAGACGTGTGCTCCGGAGTTGGCACCAGTTTTAACGGTCTTTTCCGGTACTCCCACTCCCTAGACGTAGTCCCAAACTCATGGAAGACAGCTTTGGTGCACCCGAACCCTAAAAAAGGTGACCGCTCAAATCCGTCCAACTACAGGCCTATCGCTTTCACCTCCTTGTTGTCCAAAGTAATGTAAATTATTATTAGCTGCCAGCTCATGCGGTACCTTGAGGATCACCAGCTGATTAGTGACCGCCAGTAAGGTTTCCGACGAGGTCGCTCAGGTGGTGATCTTCTAGGTTACCTAACTCATAGATGGGTGAAGGCAGTGGAGTCCAAGAGGGAGGTGTGGGCCGTTAGTTTGGACATAGCGAAGGCCTTCGACCGGGTTTAGCACAAAGCGCTTCTTTCGAAGCTTCCTTCCTATGGGCTTCTCGAGAAATTGTGCAATTGAATTACCAGTTTTCTTGCAGATTGGAGCATCAAGGTTGTAAAAGACGGTGCATGCTCCGACTACAAGACCATTAACGCTGGTGTTCCACAAGGCTGCGTGCTATCACCAACGCAGTTTCTTCTGCATATCAATTATATGTATGTTCCAAACTGGTAACATTCATTACTATGCCGACGACAGCACTGGTGATGCTTTATACCGTTTGTTGAACAAAGTCTCGGACTGGGGACGATAAAATCTAGTCCAGATCAATCCTCAGAAGACACAAGTTTGCGCGTTTGCCGCCAAGAAGAACCCCTTTGTCGTATCTCCTCAATTTCAAGGCACTACCCTTGTTGCCTTAGCCAGTAACGAAAACCTCGGAATCGACATATCGAATAGCATGCAGTTTCGTGGTCACTTGAAAGGGAAGGCAAAATTAGCCTATAAAAAGCTTGGCGTGCTCAGCAGAGCGGGACAGTATGTCATGTCTGTACACCGCTTGCAACTTTATACAGCACAGGTTCGGTTCCACTTGGAATACTATTCCCATCTCTGGGCAGGGGCTCCCCAGTGCCAGCTCCTTCCACTTACCCGCATTCAGCGCAGAGCGGTTCGAATCGTCGAAGACCGAGTTCTTTCCGATCGGCTCGATACACTGGCACTGCGTAGAGATATTGCATCTCCTTGCGTATTTTATCGGATCTATCAAGGGGAGTGCTCTGAGAATTTGTTCGGACTAATTCCAGTCGCTCAATTTCACCATCGCAGATCGCGACAAAACTCGCGATACCATCCATGCCATCTGGATGATTGGCGGTCCACCAGTGTGCGATTTAGAAGAAGTTTTCTTCCTCTCACAACTTTCTTGTGGAATCGATTACCACCAGCGATTTTTCCGGACGGATACGACTTAGGGTCCTTCAAGAAAAAAGCCTACTCCTTTTTAAAAGCGGTGTTGCGGGTTTTCATAGGCTTCACTTACCATCAGGTGAGCCGCATACTCCTTTGCCCCGTTTCCTATAAAAAAAAAACTAAACAAATAAAATTACAGATGCATTGTCTTTCTGAGAACTAAAATGAAATACCAGTCATACTGTATTAAACTGGGTCTCTATATCCTTCCAAACCAAATACAGCAGTGCAACCACTGCTGTTTGGCAGCAGAAAAACAAAAAGTAATAAAAATAGCCGGAAGCTCCGAAACCTCATTTCTGCTCCATCCTCCTTCTTTTCCTGGTGGTAGTTGAGGCATTTCACCACCTGATAACTGGGGACATCTGCAGTCGTACGGGCGGGTGTGCTGCATACATGCCTGGTAGAACGCTATCTCTTCACCAGAAAGCTTGGGTATTCTGTAAACATTTTTATTGAAATGAGGGTGAGATATACAATAACATAGATACTTACATTTTTGCTCGATTAATAATAGAAATGCAGATGTGTTGTCATGCCAGAGAACTGAAATGGAAGTTAGCCGGTTCTATGCACTCGCCGTACGTATGGGTTTCGCGTGAATGATAACAATGATATAATAAAAACCGGAAACTATGTTTATGTTAAAGATGTACTTTATTTTTGTTTTCATAGATGAGTGCATTTTGAACCTGAATCAAAGATAGATAAATATCCATAAGCGACAGCATCTTCTCACCATCAGTTAGACTCTATGAGTTTAATCTGGGACTTACAGGTCTCATGTTTATGTGAGACTTATAACAAAAAAATATAGCAACAATATTACATAATTATTTCTTATATTTACGCGAACACTGCACATTGAATAAAACTACTTTTACGGATTTTATCGCGTTTAATTGTACTTATATTTAATTCCCGACATTTCGAGTGCTATCCAGCAACAGGGCCGGATTAACCATGTCGGGGCCCTTAGGCAATGCAATTCTCGGGCCCCCTTTACAAGCAGTCTGAAGGGATGTGTGTAATAGCATCATTAGCATCACCAGACTTATGTTTAACTATTCAGAAATTTACAGTAAAAGAATAAAAAAGTATTCGAACGTAGTGTGCGAGATTATTTATTTTCTTAATATGGGCCTGAAGGCCCATAGTAACTACCAGACATATTTGATACATTATCGTTAGTCTCGCCTCTCGCATTTTTTTATAATAATGTTATATTGATTTGAAAAAAAATTATAGCGGCCAGTTCTTCCCCTTTGTAACTTAATATAGAAATAAAGCTGGTAGTGTTTGGTGGCAAAAATACAACTTCCAACCGTGGATCGAAATTAATTAGAGTTCTAGCAAGATGACCTGGTGAATTGTCAATTAGTAGCATCACCTTAAATGGAATTTCTTTCAATTGGCAATAACGTTCGAATTCAGGAATAAAATGATGACCAAACCAGTCTTTAAAAAGAGATTTCCAAATGACGGCCAAATCAGCTTTAGATTTGTTTTTTAAGGTTCTTGGATTTTCTGAACGATAAACTAAGAGAGGTTTCAATTTGCAATCACCAGCTGCATTCGCACTGACCATCATTGTCAATCGAGCTTTGGCGGCTTTAAAACCTGGGAAGTTTTTCTCTTCATGCGCAATAAAAGTTTTTTTTAGGCATTTTCTTCCAAAAAAAACCGGTTTCGTCTACATTGGAAATGGTTTGGCTCGAGTAGCCACCATCTGCAATCATTTTCTTGGGTTTTTCTGGATAAAGAGACGTAACTTCTTTGTCAGCACTTGCCACCTCTCCACTTTCTGCGTTGCTATGCCATATTACAACAACTTTTAAATCGTCTGAACCAGCCGTTACTAGCTTTAAACTCTTCATTTTTGGCCGCCTCCCCAGCTTCTTCTTTTAGTCTCTGAAAAATCTGCTTAGCTTGGAAGCACACTGTGTTTTGGTCAACAGGACATTTTTAAGTCTTACTTGATTATCACACCATAATTGTAACATTGTTTCCAGCTGAGCGATAATACCGTGACGTTTACGAATGATGCTTGAATTCAAAGATTGAGAGCCTTTCACAGCTTCCATAATTTTTTTTACTTTTTATAATCGTTCGGACTGTTGAATCCGGAAGTGAAATTTCTTTACCAATTCACAAATTTTTATTTTCGATTCAAAGTCTTTGATAATATTTAGTTTACACTCCAAAGACAGTGTTTTTTGTGTTTTCTTGTTAGGTTCAAATGACTCATGTTTTGATCTTTGGATGACTTAATTAAAGATAAATCAATAATGTGAAATTAGTTAGTTAGAATAAGGGATAATAATAAGATTAAACTTAAGATAGTAGGTATATTCTAAGTCTATGGTTAGTTCTGTAAGTATATTTCATCAACTGACAGCATGCGTCGCTAAAACGCAATAATACCTATTGTCATTGCGGATACAAATTTTCCATTTAAATTTTCACTGTATGAAATATTTTCCATTACATTTGTGCGCGCGCAGGGCCCCTAGCCGATGTGGGGCTCCTAGGTAGTTGCCTACTCTGCCTTACGGTTAATCCGGCTCTGTACAGCACACATGGTCACGTGGGACTGAGGCGATTGACGTCCCGATGTCAGAGTTAACCAGGAATGTTGTTGTAGTTGCTGATTCCCTCGATGTTTCGAAGGCCTTTGACAGGGTTTGGCACACTAATCTATTGGGCAAGCTTTCAGCGTACGACTTATCCCCTGGCCTGATTGTCTGGGTGAAGGACTTTCTGAGTGAACGATCTCTTCGGGTCTTCGTCAATGGCTACTCATCCGATACTGTGGCGACTAACGCTGGTGTTCCTCAGGGGTCTGTTCTCTCCGCAACTCTCTTCCTACTGCATATAAATTATCTGCTCATTCCCGGTATCTATGGGTATGCAGACGACAGCACAGTTGTGGAAAGATACCAAGTGCCCGGGCCAGTCGTGATCAAATCTAGTCAGAGAGGCTATGGTTGAGCGTGTGAGTCTCACACTACAGGCAGTCTCTGAATGGGGCCTCCAAAACACGGGCGTGTCTTGTCATCTTTTCGGAATGTATCCTTGAAGTACACTGACCGTCTTCAGCTGTTAGGGGTTGAATTTTCTCCGAACCTCAACATGGGCGGTTCATTGAGTCCAGAGCCAAAGCAGCCACAAGGAAACTTGGTGTCCTTGCAAGGGTGCAGCGGTATTTTATGCCGGAGCAGCTTCTTACCTTATGTGAAGCGCAAGTCCGCTCATGCATGGAGTACTGCTGTCACATATGGGCTGGTGCTGCAAAATGCCACCTGGCAGCGTTGAACTCAGTGGAAAGACGTACTAAGAGGCTCATTGGTGACCTTGATTTGGTTGAAACCAATCTTGTCAGCCTCGAGCACAGGCGCAGAGTAGCCAGTCTCTCGGTATTCTATAGGATGCATTTCGGTGAGTGTGCGCAGAATTGCGCGAAATTTCGTAAGTCTAATATTAACTATTTTTTCCAGAATTTTAGAAAGTGTGCTTAAAAGTGCAATTAGCATCTGCATTTTGAATCCAAATCGAGGATAAATGCAGATGTCTATGTTTTTTTTATAAGATAAGGGTGACAAACGAGCATACAGTCCACCTAATGGTAAATGGTTGCGGCGGCCCATAGACATCTACATCTATCCCCTTGAGGACTGGAGTTATTCCATCTGAGTCCCGTGAGGACTCAGATGGAATACCTCCTTTCCAGTAAAAAGGGTCGCCGGTTCTCTACACTCACCATATGAAACACACCAGCGTTATGCTGCTATTTTATGCTGGTGTTGTGTGGGAGCGTGGTCCTTCGCCGGTCGAGCCGACCCATTCGTGCTACAACTATACTACTAATATAGCTGCAGCATGGCTCTACCACGTGAAATATTATCGTTTGTGGTATTACAAGCTCATAGATATCCCCAACGACAAACTTTAAACTGAAGGCTACAGATGTGTTGTCACCTCTTAGCAATTAACGGGATCCTCCAAAATATTATAAGAATTAATAGATTTAATGGATTAACTTTCATTTTTATTTTATTATTTTCTTTTATATTATTAAATAATTTTGTGGGATTATTTTTTATGGAAGATGAGGCAAACGAGCATGCGGCTCACTTGACAGTAAGTGATCACCGTCGCCCATGAACATTCGCAACACCATGGGAATTGCAGGTGCCTTGCCGGCCTTTTAGAAAGGAGTAGGCTCTTTTCTTGAAGGTCCCTAAGTTGTATCGTATTTTGTATTTCCTTATATTTTACCTACCCATTAAACTGGAACACCACACCACACCAGCTTCGATGACGTAGCTTCGATGACGTCGGATATTCTGATAAACTAAACCACGCGGCCTCTAGTAGCACAATTACTTACTCAGCAACACCACCGCCCAACTTCTGCGACCCTGGTATTTTCGGCAAATTGGGCCACAGATAGTCCTTCCTGTACGTGGTGAGGTAGTGATCCATGTTTTTTTATATAATTTTTTTGGTAACAGATATTGCTCACATTACGATACTATTAATTTGTTTGGGTTTACTAATTATTTATAAAAAATTAACTTAAGTTGTGTGTCATTTCATTGATGTTGTATATTGATTTGACAGTTTATTGACTTATTTGATTAAATAAAATCTATTTGGCAAAATGTGATGCGAAATTACTAAAAAAAGTTATGATTATTTACTCTTTGGTTATACCTGGAAGCGCACAGCACTATAATGCTGTTTTATGCTGGTATTCTGTAAGAGCGTGGTCTTACACCGGTCAAGTCGACCCATTCGTGCTGCAGTCACAAGGGTATACTACACAACTATTTAAACTGAACGCAATATATATATATATATACTTTTTGTGACTTAAGGGGGACTACAAGAGTTAAGTGACCTCGAAAGACCCACGCACACATTCACACAATTTTGTATAGGAAAAGGCCTAAGCCGGCACTGTCGGTACACAGGCGCTTACACACACATGCGTACGTATTGTTACGACCTTGGGGTTCGAGACAATTAAAAATTGCCGAATGAATTACCAAAATTAACACTTTTATTACCGAACACTAATTACAATTTAAAACCACACTAATAATAAAACACAATTGTATAAATTATCACTTTAGTTCGCAGTTATTTCGCTTCGAAGTATTCGCTTATATCGCCAATTCAATACTAACTCGATCGTGTTCTATACCGGCCTTATATAATGCCTCAGATAGTTTCCAGAACCTTCTACTGTAGAAACATCTAGTATGTTCGAGTAGATCGGTCCCGAAATTTCTAGGCTCTTGACTCTCCTAGTTCTACTACTTGATACTAGAGGGCGCTAGTGGTAACTAGTGTTGCCATGTACAAGACATTAATAGTGGCGCGCAACAATATTATGTTCTGAAATAAGAATATATGATTTTTTTAAAAAATATTGATTGGAATCAAAAATTAAAACACTATTACGTTAATATGTTATTTATAGAATAATCTGACAAAAAATCGGAATGATTGCATGTACATATATATGGTTTTAATCGTTAAAAGTAATTTTTAGAGATATCTTTGTGATTTTCTTCTATCGTATCAAATTTTATGTTTTCAACACACTACCTAACTAGCATATATTCTGAAAAATATCATATATTTTTCTCATTTCATTTACTGCAATGGATCATATACTTTAAGGCATTATATAACTTGCGTTTAGCTTCTGTAGTCCCCTTAAGATTTTAATGGTTATTTTGTATTACTCTTTTCCAAGTCTTATTATTAGTATTATACGTGGTAGAGCCATGCTGCAGCTATATTATGGTTGTAGCACGAATGGGTCAGCTCGACCGGCGAAGGACCACGCTCTCACAGAATACCAGCGTCAAATAGCAGCTTAACGCTGCTGTGTTTGTATGTGTGTGTGGTGAGTGTAGAGAACCGGAGACCCTTTTTACTGGAAACGAGGCATTCCATCGTAGTCCTCACGGGTGACAACGCATCTGCATTTTCATTCGTAATCGAAGATAGGTGTAGATGTCTATGGGCCACAGCAACTACTTACCATCAGGTGGACTGTGTGCTCGTTTGTCACCCCTATCCTATAAAAAATTCTAATCTATAGAATTCGTTATAAAATCGTGCTATTTTCTATAAATATATAATTTTGCTGTGCTATATCATTGTTTGTGAGTATAGAAAACCGGAGACCTTTTATTAGTAACAAGACATTTCGTCTTAGTCCTCAGGAGTAATAACGCTTCTTCTACATTTTGATCCTTATTAATAGATGATAGATATGGCCTTTAGACGGCAGCATTCACTTACAATTAGGTGAACTGTGTAATACCTGTTTTATGTCGCAAATGCTGGCGAGCCTTACTCTGGTTCAGTGGAGTAGCGTGCCTTAGATCAAAATTTGTTCGGGGGGCCCAAATGAAGGGTAAAGATTTTTCACAAAAGGAACAAAAACTCTCGCACTGAATTAAAATAATTATATATTGATCATAAGTTATTACTTACAAATAATATTCCTAGGAACTAAGCTAGCAAAACAATTCAAACCAAAATCCTGTCCCATAGAATTTCTTAGAATATCGTATAAGTTCAGGGCCTCTGTAGCCCGGGGTCCCCGTATCATTGATACGGCTGATACGGCGGTAGCTACGCCCCTGCTCTGTTATCTCAGGACACATTAATTACTTTCTTACATCACAGCAAACAACTATTCTCCGTTTACTCTCCGTTCTGACGGTACTTGATTATGTTTGCATTAAGCTTACGCACACAAAAACAATGTGCATATGTCAATCAATCTTAGAGCATAGGGGTGACAACACATCTGCATTTTTACTATGGTAGATGTGGATGTCCATGGGCCACAGCATCCAATTACCATCAGACAGACTGTGTGCTCGATTGTCAACCTTATTACATAAAAAAATGCCATCGTGAAATAAAAATTTTTGGTAAAGAAACCGTAAAGAAAAATATTTCTTCGAAACTAATATAGTTTGAGTATGTAATATATTTTTATTTAATGATTTCTTATATTTTTTCACGCGGTAGAGCCATGCTGAAGCTGTATTGTAGTATAGTTGTAGCACGAATGGGTCGGCTCGACCGGGGAAGGACCACGCTCTCACAGAATACCAGCGTAAAATGCAGCATAACACTGCTGTTTCGTATGGTGAGTGTAGAGAACCGGAGACCCATTTTACTGGAAAAGCGGCATTCCATCTTAGTCCTCACGGGTGACGACACATCTGCATTTTGATTATTTATTGAGGATAAATGTAGATGTCTATGGGTCACAGCAGCCGCTTACCATCGGATGGACTGTGTGCTTGTTTGTTACCCTATCCTATAAAATATAAAATAAAAAAATATTACGCGAAAACTACAAACCCGCGTGAAAGAACATATAGCTGACTTAAAGAACCGACGTTCCGAGAAGTCTGCAGTGTGTGAACATGTTCTAGATCGTCCCTGACATTACATTAGATTTGATAGACCACAAATCCTCGCAAAAGAACACCGATTCCTACTAAGAATGATTCGCGAGGCTATTGAAATTAAAAAACATCCTAATTTCAATACAGAAGATGGATGGGTGCTGCCATCTGCTTGAGATCTTATAATTAATAAAATTAAATCCAAACCCAAACATACCACTGCAAGACTTCAAGATACTGTAAGCTCATTCTGCGTAGATCGGACCAAAAATTAATATTCAAAAACTGAAGGTAGCCGGGCTAACTATGACATCGGGATCAAACACCTCAGCCCCCCCGTGACTATATAGCACCCAAAACGTCGGGAATTAAAAAAGTTAATTTAAACGCGATAAAATCCGTAAAAATTAGTTTCATTTAATATTTTTATTTGAAAAAAAAAACACATCTCAGTAAGTAAATAATTTTATGTATAAGTAATATCGAACAGTACAATTAATACAGCATAAAATTCAAGATATCGAAAGAAGCTATAAATATTGATAAAAATTCATATATAATAAGTATAATAATGCGGACTGCGCCATCGGCCGTATTTCGGCTCTTCGCGCGGCGGTCCAAACGGGTTCTTCTCCAGCACCACCTTGCCCAGCAGGCCATGGCATACATCATAGCTGGTATCACCAGTTCTGACACGTAAGATCCGCCGAAGCTCCTCTGTAAATGTACATGAATTAATTACTTTATTGATTCGTTATTGTACAACGAAATACAGAATATAAATAGAGTACAATTTCAGGTATACAGTATTTTTGCTATAACCGGCCTATTTGTAGACAAGGTTCAGATTTCAGAATAAGTAACATAGGCAAATGGTGAAGAAAAATTAATTAAAATCCCAATAATCCTGTCTTTTATTTCTTTTAAATTCAAAATGCGTGGTAATGCATTATTTTAACTGATTTTACTGCGCACGCACACATTCGTAAGGGTCGATTGGTAGGCAAAAACATAGTTGCCCATAAATCACATTAAATTTAGGATAATTTTAAATAAAAGTAGATGTGCCTTATTTACTCGCATTTTTAAAAACTGCAATAAGGGTCATTTTTGAACTAAATTTTAAAATATGGCTACTCTTTGAAAAATAACCCAACAGACGATCTTATCACTCAAAGTGATCTTTACCAGCCAACCTTTGCATAGGAGACTGAACAGAAGAAAAGAGTTATTAAAATATTTTTTAATAAAATCAAGAAAGAAAACAATAGGGCAAAGTGATAGGAAAAAGTAGTGAAAATCCCTATGGAAGAACCAACTGAAAGGGTACACACAGAGGGGGTCAACCAATTAGTGGCCTTCTATTCACAGATACTAATACCACACCACGTTGGGTTCGGGAACAACGAGGTGGACGTGACCCCTGAGAAGGTGTGTCTGTGTGTGTCACTCAAGGCCCGTCTGTTCCCTCTCAAAAGAAAGGTTAGACGACTAAGATTACGGGTCCCTATGGAATCGTCAAGGTCTTGACGTCAATCATGAGTGGACTGTAATTTCATGTGCAGTGGAGTTGATTCGTGAAATAAAACATCGATTAATCTTCGTAATTTCCCCTTAGAAATGCGACATTGAAAATTTTCACTACTTTTTCCTATCACTTTTCCCTATTGTTTTCTTTCTTGATTTAAAACTGGAAACTGCTCACCGCAACAGTTACCGCGTGGTGGTGGTATTAGAATATCCACTGCCCCATATCGACCCGTGGGTGTCGTAAGAGGCGACAGATGGAACTGAAATCTGTTCTATGCTATTCTATTCTATATTGAAACTTAAGATGGGGCAGCAGTATCTTCCTGCTAACAACTCAAAGTTATAAAATACTGCGATAGCCAACCCACTTGCCAAGCATGGCAAATATTCTCCTATGGGGCAAGCTATGGTGGAGGCCAATGTTCAGCATTGGATTTTTATAGGCAGTAATGGTCAGTAATAGGCAGTAAAGGATTTCTTAAAAAAGGAGGAAGAGTCCACAGGAGTAGATTAAGAAACCGTAGTATAACCAAGCTACAGCTATATTTATAGTATAGTTGTAGCACGAATGGGTCGGCTCGACCGGGGAAGGACCACGCTCTCACAGAATACCAGCGTAAAATAACAGCTACTCTGTTTCATATGGGGAGTGTAGAGAACCGGAGACCCTTTATACTGTGAAAGAGGCATTCCATCTTAGTCCTCACCGGTGACAATGCATCCGCATTTTGATTCGCTAGCGAGGAGAGATGTAGATGTCTATGGGCCTCGGCAACAACTTACCATCAGGTGGACTGTATGCTCATTTGCCACCCTATTACTATAAAAAAAAAGAAAGAAAGATTGACAGGAGATAGAAGGAATAGATAAATTTAATTATCACCAGAATAAAACACTATTCATCATCATTATCATTACAGCCCTTCACAAGTCCACTGCTGAACATAGGCCTCCCCCAAAGAATGCCACAAAGCACGGTCCTGAGCCACCTGCATCCATCGACTTCCTGCATATCTTACCAGGTCGTCACTCCATCTAGTGGGGGGACGCCCTACACTTCGCCTGCCGGTACGAGGCTGCCACTCGAGAACCTTTCTTCCCCATCGGTTGTCGGTTCTTCGAGCTATATGGCCGGCCCATTGCCACTTCAGCTTACTAATCTGTTGGGCTATGTCGGTCACTCTAGTTCTACTGCGGATATCCTCATTTCTGAGTTTATCACGCAGAGAAACTCCGAGCATAGCCCTCTCCATAGCTCGCTGAGCGACCTTGAGCTTCCTCATCCGGCCAGCAGTGAAGGACCACGTCTCAGTTCCGTATGTCATCACTGGCAACACGCACTGGGTGTACAGTCTCGTTTTCAAGTTTTGAGGTATACCTGACGAGAAGATGTGCCGTAATTTCCCGAACGCTGCCCAACCGAGTTGAATCCGTCGATTGACCTCTCGGTCGAAGTTGAACTTACCTAGTCGGACTATTTGTCCCAGGTAAACATACTCGTCAACAACTTCGAGCTTAGTGTTCCCAACAACTACCGGCATAGGTGTGACATGGACATTAAACATGATCTTTGTTTTGTCCATGTTCATCTTAAGACCTATCCGTTGGGAAACACTATTGAGTTGGACGTTGGGAAACAACTTGGCATCGCTGAAGGGACTGCAGCACCGCCCAAATTTCGACGGAATCAAAGGCTTTCTCATAGTCCACATACGCCAGACATAGTGGCAAATTGTACTCCTCGGACTTCTGTACAATTTGCCGAAGGGTATGTATGTGATCTATGGTGCTAAAGCCTTTTCGGAAACCGGCTTGTTCGGAAGGCTGGAAGTCGTCAAGTCTGCGCGCGAGACGATTCGTAATGACTCTCGAATACAGCACGTAGACGCGGCTCAGAAGGGAAATCGGTCTGTAGTTCTTCAAGAGAGCGTTGTCGCCTTTCTTGAAGAACAAGACCACCGCACTTCTGCTCCACGCCTCCGGTGTAATGCCACCATGGAGAACGGAATTAAAGAGCTTCTGAAGGACTTCAAGTACCGGTTTTCCACCCGCTTTCAGAAGCTCCGCTGTAATTCCATCCCCGCCTGGGGCCTTGCCGTTTTTAAGGTGCTGGAGAGCCATTCTAATCTCGCTCAGACTGACGTCCGGGATATCATCGGAATAATGTCGGATAAGACTCGCTCTTGGATCGTTACTCACACTTGCGTGCGGCTCCAACGATGACGTGTACAGCTGCCCATAGAACCTCTCAATCTCACTCAAAATCTCAGGTGCCCCGGAAACGATGCTGCCACATTCTGTCTTCAGCTTTGACAGTTGGCGCTTTCTGGCAGACAGATCTCTGGCAAAGACTTTGGAGCCTTGGTTCCGCTCGATCGCTTCTTCAATACGAGCTGTATTGAAGTTGCGTAAGTCCCGCCGCATGCATTTGGAGATCTGTCTGTTCAGTTGCCTGTATGCTGTTAAATCTGTTGAAGAATGTAGCTTCATCTCCCGTCTAACAGCCATGAGATTAAGAGTGTGATCGGAGAGTTTTTGTGTTCTTCTGCGGCGGGTCTTGCAGAACTTAGCTCCGACCGCATGGACAGTTTCCACGAGCTTGTCATTCAAATCGTCCACTTCATTGCAGTCTTCTAGGCACTGAAAACGGTTTTGTAACTCGAGCTGAAAGGTTTCGGGACTTTGGATTAGAACACGAGGGGGACGGAGCGTTGACTTCATTAGACGAGACCTCTCCAACTTAACGTTTAGGTTCAGTGTGCCTCTAACCATTCGGTGATCGCTGCCGGTTTTCACCCTCGCGATCACTGAGACATCACTGAACAGTTGTCGTCTGGTCGTCATAATGAAGTCAATCTCATTTTTTGTCGAACCGTCGGGGCTCGACCAGGTCCACTTCCTGTGGGGCCGCTTCTGGAAGAAAGAGTTCATCATAAAGAGTCCCTCTTTCTCCATGAAGTCAGCCAACTGCTGGCCCCTTGGGTTCCGTTGCCCTATTCCAAATTTCCCTACTTTCAGCTCACCGTTCTCTCTTGTGCCTAGTTTTGCATTGAAGTCTCCCATTAACACCGTATATTGGGTTTTGGAGGAATGCATGGCTCTAGAGATATCCTCATACATTTCCTCCACCTCCTGATCGGGGTGTGCCGAGGTTGGTGCGTAAACCTGTATGACCTTCAGCGAATACCGTTTGGTGATTCTGAGTATAAGGTACGCAACCCTCGTCGACACACTCTCAATCTTTACAACGTTGTTAACGAGAGACTTGTGGACGACACCTCCTTGGGACAGATGGTCGCCCTCCTGGTAATAGAGCAAGTTGCCGGATTCGAGGATTACCGTGTCCTCCCCCTCTCTTCGGACTTCGGATAATCCTATAATATGCCAGCGTAACTTGTCTATCTCTTCTTCCAGCTCCACAATCTTCTCGTCAGTCCTCAGGGTGCATGCGTTGTATGTTGCCAGGTCGAGTCGTCGTAGGTGGCAACCGAACCTCCACCGGAGATTCTTAGCACCCCCTGCCCCGCCGTTACCATGATCGCCACCGTAGCCAGGAATAGCGGGGCCACCGGGGACTGGGGGCCGTTTATTATTGTCATTGCTCATAGGGGGTATATTGCCATAGTTGCCACGCTTGGCGAGCGGGTTGGCAACCGCAGTTTTTTTATTGTTATTTTGGCTATTATCAGGAAGATGCTGCTGCCCATCTCCTGCCTGTTTCCCTTTGTCGCCTTTTACGACACCCACGGGAAGATATGGGGTAGTTGATATTCTTAACCGCCACTACACGGCAAAACACTATTATTGGAATAAAATAACTAATATTTAGACGAAATAATAAAAACTGATACGTCAGTATATCCGACTAAAATGAGGATGTCGTCACGGCATGACAGAACATGCTTTTTTAAGCTAAGCCTGTGCGCTTTATATAATTCAAGCAATGCCTAATAATATGTAAAAAAGCGATACTAACTCTGTAGGGAGTCGTCAAACTGGGGTTTCATAGACATCTTCGACGGATGTTCAGCGTACTTCTCGGGGTTAGGTGGTCTGTAAGATCCGCGGTGGCTCGTGTCGGGGATGTAAATATCGTCAGGAAGTCGCAGTGTCTGAAGAGCGCGGGCTCTACGTGTCAAATTCACGGACATGAATGGCAACTCTGTTGAAAAAACAGTTATTATACCAACAGCACGTGTTTTGTTTATAATTACTTGTTCGTTGGTTAAGGGTACCCTTAATTTGGCCGTTCTTTTGTATACATCGCCAATTTTGTCGATTAACTTTCGTCTACAACGTCCCTAGCCAACTCTGTCACTTACTTCTGCATCATAAAATTACTTTGTTACCTATCTTGGGTGAGGAGTACAATTATTGCATAAGCTCACTGTCAGCTAGATTGAATATAAGCAATAAAAGTGAAGATCCGCCGTGCAAGGTGTTTAATCCGGCTATGTGTGGATAGTTCAAATCAAATCAAATTATTTATTTCGCTAAAAACATGGGTACAGACGGATGGATACAGAGTCAATATTTGTTTCCACATATTTTTCCTTTCGTGGCATTCGAAAAAAAATTGTTTAAAATAAATGTGTTCCGAACAAATGAACTTAAAATTAGAAATAAACACATAATATTCCACTATGTAACTACCACTTTGTAATGATTACATTTATGTTTTTAGAAGAACACAACAAAATTAGAAAAATAGCTTTTAATTCAATTGAGAAGTACCACGCAAAATCCTGGATCTATAGTAACTTACTTAGCTAAACAAAATCAATAAAAAAAATTAAAAGCAAAATCAAAATTTATAGTTAAAGAATTCTTTGATGTTATAAAAGGCAGTATTTATTAGCCACTGCTTTAAACTTTTTTTCATTCTCGTTAATGGCTGTTCACGAATATTTTTAGGAACTTTATTATATATCCTAAAAATATTCGTGAGGTCAGTTCAGTCAGGTCAGGTCAGTTCATTCAATAGAGATACGGTTTTAAGAGGTGGCTCCTTAATATTAGCTAGTAAATTATTATCATGTAAAGAACGTAAAGACATTGTGAGCCTCTCTGTTGAGCGAACTGTAGAAATGGCATGTGTTGAGTTTGAGCACCTCATTGTTGTGAGCGTCTACAGACCCCCATGTTGTACATATGATACTTTTGAAAACATTATGGAGGAAGTTTTTGCTAAGCTTAAAAAACAGAATAAATCTGTTGTAATATGTGGAGACTTTAATATCAATCTCCTAGAAGCTTCCTCCATCAATATTAAATTTAGATCATTGTTTAAATCATATGGTCTTTTCAATTTATTTATAGAGCCAACGCGTATTTCTCAATCTAGTGCAACATGTATAGATAACATTTTTACAAATGTGAAGCCGTTGCATAAATGTATAATTCAAAAATTAAGTTCTGATCACTGTGGACAAGTAGTCTCGTTACCTTATGTTCACAAAAAGCAAGTAGATGAGAAAGTAGTGTCTGTTCCAGTAAAAGCACGTCGCTTGGAGAAATTTAGAAGTAACATAGTGAAAAAACTTCCATCACTTTCATACCAAAATGATCCTAATTTTTTGTATGGAACATTATTTAAGCTTATTTGCAATGAATTTAATAATACTTTTACTTCTAAAACATTCTCCTTGAACAGTCGGAAGTCATTCAATGAATGGGCGACAGTAGGAGTCCATAAGAGCAGGCATAGGTTATATGATCTTTACCATGAAAGGTCATATAATCATAGCGTCGAATTTAGGGAATATGTAAAAAAATATTCAAAAATATTTAAAAGAGTGTGCTCCATAGCCAAGTCTTTGCATTTGAGCAACAAAATTAAGACGGCTTCCAATAAAATTAAAATAACATGGAGTATAATTAATAGCGAAACTGGTAAGATCAACTCTCGCAATTCAAATTACCAGTTAAGTGTTAACAACAAATTAACTGTATCAGATCAGGACGTAGCAATGGTTTTTGAGAAATATTTTACTGATATTCCGATCTTGACCACTAAGACACTGAATTCTTCTCCTGCCGTCGCCGAATCATTACTTAAACAAAATGTAAATGTGTGTACAAAGAATTTTACATTTCATAAAGTGTCATCAAAAGATATTGTAAAATATTTTAAAACTATTGATGTTAAGAAAACTGTGGATCTGTGGGGGATTTCCGTTAAAGTTATTGCGTCTATAATAGATACAATCGCGCCTCATTTAGCTATTATTTTTAATACTAGTATCGAATCTGGTGTGTTTCCTGATTTAATGAAGCATAGTAAAGTAATACCTTTATTTAAATCTGGTAGTACATTAGACCCCGCCAATTTTAGACCTATTTCTGTACTACCAACACTTAGTAAGATTTTTGAAAAAATTGTTCTTGATCAAATGTTAAATTTTTTTAATATAAATAATTTACTTCATAAAAATCAATTTGGTTTCACAAGGGGTCGCTCGACAACTGATGCCGGTGTTGAGCTGATTAAATATATTTTTAATGCATGGGAGAATTCACAGGATGCTTTGGGTATATTTTGTGACCTATCCAAGGCCTTCGATTGTGTTCACCATGAAACATTAATCAGGAAACTTCAACACTACGGTGTAAGAAGTGATGCCCTTAAATTAATTATTTCATATTTAAGTAAGAGAACGCAAAAAGTTGTCATTAACAATATGAGCTCCTCCGGATCGACGGTACAAATGGGCGTGCCTCAAGGCTCAATTCTCGGCCCCTTTCTGTTTCTTGTATACATTAATGACTTACCTTACATAGTAGGGGATAACCATGATATAGTATTATTTGCAGATGACACTTCTTTAATTTTCAAATTAAGTCGACAGTTACTAAAATATGACGAAGTAAATAATGCTATATCTAAATTAGTAAATTGGTTCGATGTTAATAATTTGCATTTAAATGGCACTAAAACAAAATGTATGAAATTCGTGACTCCAAATGTCAAACAATTAAATACTAATGTAATTTTAAATGGGGAGAAACTGAGTCTTGTAGATACCACTATTTTTCTTGGAATCACACTAGACGCGAAGCTTCAATGGAGCTCCCATATATCAAAACTAGCAAGCAGACTTAGTTCTGCAGCATATGCTGTAAAAAAGATTAGAGGTCTAACCAGTGTTGAAACAGCTAGACTAGTTTACTTCAGCTACTTCCATAGCATAATGTCGTATGGTATTTTGCTATGGGGACACGCAGCTGACACTGAAATTATATTTGTTTTGCAGAAGAGGGCCATAAGAGCAATTTATGATTTAAAGCCTAAAGAGTCGCTGCGACAAAAATTTAAGGAAATTAATATATTAACTTTGGCCTCTCAATACATTTATGAAAATGTAATGTACGTACACAAAAATAAAAGTAGTTTTACAAAAATAAGTGATATTCATTCTGTAAATACTAGGAACAGACACAAGCTAGTAGTACCAGTTACTCGACTCCATCGAGTCAGTAATTCATTCTTGGGGCGATGTATACGCTTTTACAACAAAATTCCAGAAAATATACAAAGTTTGACCTGTTCAAAGTTCAAAAACTTTATTAAACTAAGTTTGTATAAAAAGGGTTATTATAATATTAAGGAATTTATGGATGATAATAACCCCTGGAAATGAGGTGATCGCTACCAAGCTATTTCTAATTTGTTGTGTTGTTAATTTGTGTAACATCATGATTGTAAGCTGTTATTTAAAAAAAAAGTCCCGCTGGGTTTCTTGCTGGTTCTTCCCAGGACAGAGGTTTTTTCCGAACCAGTGGTAATCAAACAAAAGAGTGACTTTCAATAAGTATTATTTATAATCTATATTGAATAAAAAAGTTTCTGTTTCTGTTTCTATCTTTATACACATTACCAGACAATTCCTGTGGAATAATGCAGTTCTACAAGGTGGCATCAGTAGACGTGTCGGATCTCTTTTTGCAAATTTATTATTTTCCTGCACGGTAACAAATTGGTTTGTATTATTTTTTACAAAAACGCAGATTTCTAATATATATAACCCAGTTAAAGTGAGAATATTTTTTTCCTTAAACAGGGGTCTACAGCTCTGTAGAGGGCCTACGTTACACAGTGCACGAATACATTTCTTCTGGCTTATATTATAGTTCGGAGCTTTTGTACTATTTTCATAGCTATTTGAAAACTTCTAAAGCGTGATTTAAGCTTCGGTTATTATTAGATCCTTATGTAACGCTGTGGCGCGTTGCCAGCGCCGCAGCCGACAAACAATGCTAGTAAAGTATATATACGTCCCACTGCTGGGCACAGGCCTACTCATTTCCGAGAGGGTTTTAGGGCAAGGAAATGTTGGCCACGCTGCCCCACGGCGTATTGGTGTACTTCACATATCTTCGAAATATATAAAATAATAATAATATGAAAATGCAAGGATTGTCTGAATTCATTAAGCCATTGGTATCAAGACTAATAAACACAAAAAAGTAACTGCTCAAAAGTAAAAAGTTCGTTATAAATTCACCTCTAGAACAATATTTAATCAAATATTCAGTCCTCTTTGAATCTTGTATTTCATGTTCGATCGGCACAGGGTCCAAGTCTTCGGCCATGTATTTTTTTGACAGACGCGGGTAATTTTCTGAAAACTATATTTTAAACTTAAGCCTCAGTAATATTTATCGTCATCAGCAAGCAATAACAATATCGTCCTAAATAATGTTGTAATCTTAATATCGTTAAATGAAAGTAATTTTTACGCATTTTGTTGAGTTTTATTTCACTTTTTAATTACAGACATTTCGGGTGTTTTACAGTACCCATTGTCACAAGGGGTACTAAGGTGTTTGACGTTTCGATGTCATATTTAGCCCGGCTACCTTCAGTTTTTGAATATTAATTTTTTGGTCCGATCTACGCAGAATGAGCTTACAAACGAACCGCAACGTCGGGAATTAAAAAGTTAAATGAAATGCGATAAAATCCGTAAAACTTAGTTTCATTTAATGTGCAGTCTTCGCGTAAATATAAGAAATCATTATCTTAATATCGGTTACGGTGATCAGTCTTAACTATTATATTATAGACAAGCTATTTGCGGAGGTGAGGACTATAGTGCACAAGTGCGTGGACAAACACAAGTGTACTACCTATTCCCTCACTCTCATAGTCCGCTAGGGCGGCAATCAGGCGCTGAACTCACGGTTTTATTTTCGGAAATTCAAACGGATTCGAACCTGGGACCTTATGATTAGCAGTCTCGTTAAGGATCACTAGGCAGTCAACAAGTACAAAGTCCACTCTGGACATAGACCTCTCCGACAGTAGAAACAGTTGGAGTACTTATCAGGTGGACGTACGATCTTAGTGCCAGCAGTTCGATTGGATATATCTGATGGGAATCCATTTGTACACGTGGTAGAGCCACGCTGCAGCTATATAATAGTTGTAGTACGAATGGGTCGGCTCGACTGGGAAGGACCACGCTCTCACAAAATACCAGCGTAAAATAGCAGCCCAAAAATATGTGAATTTAATTTGACTTTGTACGTAGCAACGCGTGGCGAAATAGATAACCATTCAGGATAACTTCCGTGGCGTAGTGGCATAGCAATGAGTTAAGGCACTTGGGGCCGCAGGTTCGAATCCCGCACGGAACAAGTATTAGTGTGGCCTGCAAGTAATTGTTCCGGGTTTGGATGTTTGTCCTTGTAAATTTAATATATGTAAACTGCTTTTACGATACATGAGAAAATCCTAGTGTGGGGTTATCATTTTTATATATACAGTAATAACTACATTCTGCGGAGCGATTGTGTACTTCTGGTGAGATTTGTGGTTGGTTTTGGTTTGGCGTTTCACGCTAGGATTCTTTGAATAGCCGACGTCTTTTTATAATATTGTAAGAAACTATTCCACTTCTGATGTTAGAAATTATCCTCAAAATTGTTTAAATATAAGTAAAAATAATTAAAAATTAAAAATTTTGTGCAAACGACTTCAATGTAAATTATTAAGAATAACTCAAAAACTATTAGTCAGACCTTAATCAAATTTATATGGGACCACATGGAAAGCACCAGCTTTCAAATAAAAAAAGAAACATAGAAATCGGTTCACATAGTAAGAAGTTATAAGGTAACACACATAAAAAAACATACAGTCGAATTGAGTACCGGCTCCTTTTTGAAGTCGGTAGAAAAGAACACTACTTGGTAACAAACCCCGCTTACTATCAGGACCCAATTACAAGATAACACCAAAGTATGCAAACCAACAGCATCACTACCCATCTCAATGTAACACAGGGCAGCCTCTCAGTAACACGTCTTTCCTTGTCTACACTAGTATAATACCCCAACGGGCATAGTAACGACATTGAGACTCGTAGAATTACCGACTGATCTCTCTTGGTCGCCTGCGCGATATTTTATACTGCTAGTACAAGTGAGATTATCTACCTTCATTTGTTCGTATTTCATTTTAATTTTTACTAATTTCCCAACATTATTATAATGAAACATAACGCAGCTACGGGAGGGACTTCATTATAGAATAAGTGTGACTATATGTAACACATAGTCCACCTGATGGTAAATGGATGCTGTGGCACATAGACATCTACATTTATCCTCGATTAAGAATAAAAATGCAGATGTTTTATCTCCCCTGAGGACTAAGATGGAATGCCTCGTTTCCAGTTTCCAGTCTCCGGTTCTTTACAATCACCATACGAAACAGCGAAATAATTAAGCTGCAATTTTACGCTGGTATTCTGTGAGAGCGTAGTCCTACCCCGGTCGAGCTAACCCATTCGCGCAAGAACTATAATATAGCTGCATCGTGGCTCTTCAACGTATAAAATATATAAAATTTTGCAATATCTTTGTTTAACCTTTAATTTTTCGTAATAGTGACACTTGTTGACAATTACAACGCATCTAAACTCATAAATTGCTTTTGGAAAAATATTGGCTTTATCTGAAATTTTCACACCGCGATCAATGTGATCGCGATCGCATAAGATATTAGACCAAATTAGCCATAATATGGAGGTCACAATTATTTTGACTAACCCTCGTCACAGCTTTCTTGTAGTATTCTTGGTCGATTGGACACAACACGTCTGGACTCTCGCGAGGTTGGTCTTTCGCTTTTAGAGCATCTCGACTGACGCCCACTATTAGACAGTCGTCATCAACGGCCTTCCGGCGTGGACTCTTACTGTAAAAAAATATATATATTTACAGCTTAAATCAGTACATGCGTGTACTGCTAATGTACATTTTTAAACAAGTAAATATGACTAACGAATACACAGTCCACCTGATGGTAAGTAAATGTTACATTGTAACCAATAAAAAGTGTTTCCGTCTCTCATAATTAAACCTGTAAAACACAGCGGTATTTTGCTACTATTTTACGCTGGTATACGAGTAGGTAATGTGTGCGTGTGGTCCTTCCTCTGTTGAGTTCACCTATTTGTGGTGCAGCTACAATAACGGAATATTTTTTTTATATAGAATAAAGGTGACAAACGAGCCCACAATCCACCTGATGGTAAGTGGTTGCTGTGGCCCATAGACATCTACATCTATCTTCGTTTGCGAATTAAAATGTAGATGCCTTGTCTGCCGTGAAGGACTAAGATAGAATGCTTATTTTTCAATAAAATGGGTCTCCGGTTCTCTACACTCACCATACGAAACACAGCAGCATCAAGCTGCTATTTTACGCTGGTATTCTGTGAGAGCGTGGTCCTTCCCCGGTCGAGCCGACCCATTCGTGCTACAACTATACTATTAATATAGCTGCAGCATGGCTCTACTACGCTTAATCCTCACGTTACCTCTCTTCAGCATAATTACAGCCAATCAAAAGTCCGCTGTTAAACAAACGCATAACCTCCTCCTCCCTCCTCCCCATAGATTATCTAGTAATAAGGACTAATCTAAAAAGGCTAATCATGAGGTCCTTGGTTCGAATACCGGGTCAGGCCAAAATCAGTTTTTGCGTTTTCCTGACAAGAAATTCTGAGTTGCAACACTATCGAAGTTACTAAGCTGGCCGTTTTTCGCCCACATGCCTCGGAAACTCGAAAAAGACATAAAGCCTGAGGTCCCAGGCCTGATCTCTCACCGGTCGTGTTGGGCCGTCTCATCGGACAATGAGAGACACTACTTGACTACACTTGGGAAGCCCTGCGCTAGACACCATTGAGAGTGGCCGCCGGTGAACAAAGAGGAAATCACACGGCTGGACCGAGGTGAAGTGCCGGCCCGAGTTGGAAACTCCAAATGGGCTTGGCAATCCCACTTCGGATGTGTGTTGGTTTGCTGCGGCGAGAGGGATGTTCTCCTCCTACTTCTGCAGCTGAGGTGAAAACGCGGAGAAAGAGGAATGTTGGTATAGCGATGTGTCACTCTCCCTAGTCCTACGTAACCTGTCGTTGCCATGCGAGGCGTATGCGTAGGCATTTCCCCATGTAAAAAAAAAAGATAGACAGGAAGGTTTTCTTTAGTTGTTCTTCTACATCCCATATACCATATACATATATAATCAACCCTTAAAAGTCCACACCTGGACATTAGCTTTTCTTATTGCAAGGAAGATTTAACGATTCATCTCTATATATAAAATACAAAAACTGTCCGTTAGTCGCGCAAAAACTTGGAAATGGCTGGACCGATTATGACAAACTTTTATGGTGTGTATTTAAGTGGGTCCCGGGATAATCTAAACGATTCACAATTGGTCCCGGTATGTGGCACTATTGTCGAGATCCAGAAATCACCCGTGCGAAGCCGGGGCGGATCGCTAGTCTTAATATAAAGAATTCCATTAATTTGTATTGACTGATTTTATATTCATAAATCTCTTACGGCTTATTCTTTCTAACATAATCATTCATGTAAACGGATTTAAACTCTATATCACCATCAAAAACGGACATCTTGTCAATATATCAAAAAGATTTATTTAAATTATTGAAATTTTAAAGACAACATAACGTCACTCTTATGACAGCTCATTAAATAATTCACAGATCTACAATCCTACCGTGCACCCTACTCTCACTCAAACCTGTACTGTACTCTGTGTATGCCAGTGGGTATATTCTAAGTCTATGATATAATACCAAGGAGGTTATAAATTTACAATCTCCTTGTATAATACACACACAATGCTATGCAGTAAGTAGGAGTAACTAAAGCAAACTGAGGCCGATTTCTTTTAGGTTACCTTCTCTCAATAATATTGCCAATAATAACGGTCCGATAAACCAAAATAAAAATATTTTTAAACTATTTTATTTTAATTAAATAAAATATTTTATATTAACCATAGAGTTCAAAAGGTAATATTACATTAAGAAGTATAAGTGACCCATAAACGGGAACAAATGGTGAAACCTTCCATCTAATGCAGTGGTTCCTAACCCTTTAGTAATGATGACCACCAACATTCAAAGGCATAATATAAGTTATAATAATTCATTTATGGGGCAATATATACGCTTTTACTACAAAATCCCAGAAAATGTACAAAATTTTCAATAAACATGTTTAAATGTTTTATTAAAGAAAATTGTGCAAAAAGGGTTATTATAATAAAAAAGAATACATAAATGAAAAAGCCCTTGCGAATGAGGTGATCGCCACCATGCTGGTTCTATTAAAATTCATTTAAAATTTGTGTAAACAAAATTATTATAAAGTGAAATATGTTTAAAAAAAGTCCCGCTGGGTTTCTTGCTGTTTCTGCTGTCCCTGTGCTCCGTGCGGTATTTTCCGAACCAGTGGTAAATAAAAAAAATTACTTTCAATAAGTATTAATCTAGATTGAATAAAATTATTCTATTCTATTCTGTAACGGTAAAGTTGATGATTAAGTTTATTCTATAAATATATAATAAATATAACTCTGGTTCTACTGCGGATATCCTCATTCCTAAGTTTATCACGCAGAGAAACTCCGAGCATAGCCCTCTCCATAGCTCGCTGAGCGACCTTGAGCTTCCTCATACGGCCAGCAGTGAAGGACCACGTCTCAGTTCCGTAAGTCATCACTGGCAACACGCACTGGTTGTACAATTTCGTTTTAAGGTTTTGAGGTATGTCTGACGAGAAGATGTGTCGTAGCTTCCCGAACGCTGCCCAGCCGAGTTGAATCCGTCTATTGACCTCTCGGTCGAAGTTGGACTTACCTAGTCGGACTATTTGTCCCAGGTAAACATACTCGTCAACAACTTCGAGCTTAGTGCTCCCAACAACTACCGGCATAGGTGTGACATGGACATTAAACATGATCTTTGTTTTGTCCATGTTCATCTTAAGACCTATCCGTTGGGAAACACTATTGAGGTCATTGAGCATAGTGCTTAGGTCCTCCAGCGATTCTGCCATAAGGACTATATCGTCGGCAAATCGAAGGTGAGTGATGTACTCGCCATTGATGTTGATACCGTATCCTTTCCAGTCCAGAAGCTTGAAAACGTCTTCCAATGCAGCGGTGAAGAGTTTCGGGGATATGACGTCACCCTGTCTTACACCTCTCTGCAATTGGATAGGTTTCGTACTCTGGTTCTGTACTCGGATAGCCATCGTAGCCCTACTGTACAAGCACTTCAACACTTCGATATACCGACAGTCAACTTGGCACCGCTGAAGGGACTGCAGCACCGCCCAAATTTCGACGGAATCAAAGGCTTTCTCATAGTCCACATACGCCAGACATAGTGGCAAATTGTACTCTTCGGACTTCTGTACAACTTGCCGAAGGGTATGTATGTGGTCTATGGTGCTAAAGCCCTTTCGGAAACCGGCTTGTTCGGGAGGCTGGAAGTCGTCAAGTCTGCGCGCGAGACGATTCGTAATGACTCTCGAAAACAGCACGTAGACGCGGCTCAGAAGGGAAATCGGTCTGTAGTTCTTCAAGAGAGCGTTGTCACCTTTCTTGAAGAACAAGACCACCGCACTTCTGCTCCACGCCTCCGGTGTAATGCCACCATGCAGGACGGAATTAAAGAGCTTCTGAAGGACTTCAAGTACCGGTCTTCCACCCGCTTTCAGAAGCTCCGCTGTAATTCCATCCTCGCCTGGAGCCTTACCGTTTTTAAGCTGCTGAAGAGCCATTCTAATCTCGCTCAGACTGACATCCGGGATATCTTCGGAATAGTGTCGGATGAGACTCGCTCTTGGATCGTTACTCACACTTGCGTGTGGCTCCAACGATGATGTGTACAGCTGCCCATAGAACCTCTCAATCTCACTCAAAATCTCAGGTGTCCCGGAAACGATGCTGCCACATTCTGTCTTCAGCTTTGACAGTTGGCTCTTTCTGGCAGACAGATCTCTGGCAAAGACTTTGGAGCCTTGGTTCCGCTCGATCGCTTCTTCAATACGAGCTGTATTGAAGTTGCGTAAGTCCCGCCGCATGCATTTGGAGATCTGTCTGTTCAGATGCCTGTATGCTGTCAAGTCTGTTGAAGAATGTAGCTTCATCTCCCGTCTAACAGCCATGAGATTAAGAGTGTGATCGGAGAGTTTTTTTATAGAAAAAGGGCAAACAAGCATGCGGCTCACTTGATTGCAGTATTGAACCGCCGCCCGTGAACAACTGCACCACCATGGGCAGGGTGATGCAACTTTGTATGAAAACGAAATCTAGACACAATCATGATTTTGTAAATGTTTGTTGTAATAATAAAGCGAGAAAAAAATATCGCTGTTATTTTCCTTCGAGTTGCTTTAGATTGCCATTTTAAAAATTAGATAGAGTCAGAAGAAACTGGAAAAAGTTAATTCTGTGCTATATTTTTTTTTGTTTGAACCTTACAGTAATTATATACATATTACTCTGATGTTTGCACAATTAATTGAATAAAATAAAATAATTGAATATCAGCAGAATTCTATTGTTTTGTCTTTTTTGTGTTTGTTTGTCTCTTCAACTTCTTTCATGTTGAAAATATTTTCTGAAATTTATTCAAATTTATTTCATACGTTCAGATTTTACCATTTATTATTGCTTTTTGCTTAATCGCATTTATTGTCGGTTCAGAATACTTAGTTTTCGTTTGTAGGCATTTCCTCGAGATTGTGTATGTAAAGATTTTTGTGAGATGTTGACTCTGTTGATGCCTTTCAACTATAAATTAATTTATTATTTAATAAATGTATGCACGAAGTGTGATCAGAATCTAAAGTAAGTTAAGTGTTGTGCAAACAAAAAGCACAAAATCATCTGATATTTTTCCGCAGGTTTCCTACGAAGAAAACCTTTTGAATTGGGATTATTACTATAATATTAACTCGAATTTTATCTCTTTCAGATCATGTATTTCGGTTTGAGTTAAGATTTTACTGTACGAATTTTGCTGTTCTATTTAATATTCTGTGAAGAATAACAGTCACAATAACGTATATTATATATCAATAACATACGTGGAAATATAATCTGCAAAGGCAATAAAAACATCAATAATAATTATATAGTGTATAAAAGAATTTGTCTTCCAAAAAATAAAATTACCTAACTATATTTACCCATATTTAATTTTATTTTATCCCACATGCTTTTCTAATGTAAATTCGAGTAATTTTGGTGAAACCTCTCAATTGTATGCGAATTCACCCAATAGGTTTCTCAGGCTTGAGCTAAAATTACTCAAACTTGCCTTAAATAAACAAAAAAGTTTAAAAATTACAGAGTACAAAGGTTTTGAATTCCCGCTTAAAAAGTTTTATATGGGCGCCCACCATGGCGCTTGTAGTGTACACTCATAAACACGTGTTTCCTTTTTTTTAGTATGAAGTTGACGTTCTTCTCTCGGTAGAAAGTATTGGGTTCTGTGATCAGGGGAATTGAAGGTGCGTGGCCGGCCTTAAAATCTTTCATCATCTCCATAAGTGTGGTACAATCTTATATTACATATATTAGAGAGCATTGTGTGATGCCTTCGCGGACCATCTTTAGGTGCCTTCAGGCACCATCGCTGGTCCACGGACTTCCGGTAAAGAACCACTGATCTAATGCATACAAGCTGACGCGTACTTGAAAGGCCTAAGTCCAAAAGTTGACTAGGCTATTGATGTTTGTGTGATGTTGGATTAAATTATCATCATCCCTATCATTACAATCTTCACTGCTGAATATAATCCTCCATAAAATCCATAGGAGGAAATTAATAGCTATAGTTACCACGCTTGGCAAGGGGATTGGCAATAGGCTTGGGTAAAAATATCGATATATATCGTCGTGGTTTTAAAGCGCGATATATCGACATTCGGTATTTATTTAAGAGTATTGAATTCGTAATTTCGGTATATTTTAAAATATTGTATTAATCGACAAACATTAAGCAACAAAAGTAGCTACAAAAGTATTCATGTGCTGTTGTCGTTTTTTTGCCATCCAACCGTCCACTAATAAAATATTGGGTCACCATCATGCAAAACATAACGATATATCGATATTTATCACGCGATATTTATCTATACTGTTTTAAAACATCGATATATCTTTTTCACTTGCCCATCTCCAGTTTTTTATTATTTTGAGTTGTTATTAAAAAATGCGGCTACCCATCTTCTGTTTCATTTTCCTCTGTGCCTCTTATGAGACCCAGGGGATGATATAGGGAAGTAGATTCTCCGTCGCCACTACACGGCAGTGAATGTATTAAGTATATGTTTAATATTGAGTTTAGGTCACCCCCCCCCCCTCGCTAGATGGCGTGACTATCCGGTAAGATATGCAGAAAGTCGATGGATGCAGTTGGCTCTTGATCGTGCTTAATGGCATTCCTGGGGGGAGACTTATGTTCAACGGTGGCCTTGTGATAGGCTATAATGATGATGATGATGACAATAATAATGATTAAAATAAAACTATCTTCACAAATTAAATATGTTTATATTACATCAATTATAGATATTACATAACAAAATA